CGGTGGCAGCGTTGGCAGTATACCTGAGGTGGGCTGTGGTACTCTGTACTGGAGGGCTGTGTCCTGCAAGGTGCTTTGCACTCCTGGGCTCAGTCCAGAAAAGCACTTAAATATGTGAACGTTTCTATTTCTATTAATTTCTGTAATACTGCTCACTTGCTTAAATATCTGACTGGATCAGGGCCAGTGCTCTCAGGACTTTGCAGGAGAGAACTTTCTGCAGGATAGCACTTTAAAGGAATAATTAATGAAAAGTATGATTAACAAGATTCATAGCTTAATAAAAGTGTTCTCTTCTGAGCTGGATTGAAGTAGGGGTGCGCAAGGTAGGTGAAGAACGTGAACGCCCGAGCTGCTGTGGGGGGCTGGACAGAAAAGGTAGCTCCACCGGCCTGTGAAGCGCGCCTTAACTGGTGCATACTGCCGATGGACAAGGAGCGTTTCCTCCTTAGAGAGCAGACAGTCTCCTGGAGGTGGCTGATGCCCGCTCAGGGCTAGGATGCACCGTACCATGCTGGGGACACTGTTCGCCATGAACATTCCTCAGCAGCACAGCTGAGACGTTTATTTTTTAATGCCTGTAAGAAGCTGGGATGTTTGCTGTGCATACCCTGGTGTTCACACGTGTACAGGATGAGCATGCAGTGTGCTTGTGGTATCTCAGTCCAGCAGAATAATTTAGCCGTTAACAACAGCAAATTAGGCACCTGTGATTTCATCTGAATTATTAATGTGAGCTTGTGTTCAAGTAAGAGTCAGAGTCCCTGAGCTAATTTAAGGCAAAATAGCTGTTTTCAAGATAGTTTTTTATGGTCTAGATCACTGTTTGCGAGCTGCACGGTGTTTCCTGAAGAACAAGTAGGATCAAGCAAGACAGTGCAGGGGGCACAAGCCAGGTTGCAGAGCTGCAAGTGCTGTAGCACTGTCCATGTAACGGTGCACCTCGGCTAATCGGGGCTGGGCGCTGCAAGCAGCTAATACAAAGTGGGCGTAGAGCAGAGTAGCTTTGGAAATGTGGACCTCGCGCAGCTCCTTAAGCGGTGGTTTACACGTTGAAGCACTTGCTTAAGTCTCACTAGCTTCAGCAGTGATGTGATCCTTTCACGTATTGAAGCCTTATTACAGAATTGGAGATGATAACGTATAAAAAGTAATTTTAATAAGTGGTGTTATCTACACGGTAACTTCTGTGGAATTATTGGGCATTCTCTTCTACCTGCAATTGGGTATAAATCTGGAATTACTTCATAAAAATCAAGATTCACAGTGATGTAACAGAGGCAGCTTCTAGTCTGTCATCTTCTTTGCCTTCAGAGTTTGCTAAATACATCAAGCCATGCCTATTTAAGCTTTTTTTTTTTTAATGACAGTTTATCTGAGCTCACGGAATGAATGGATAACATTACTATTTACATAAGCTCATTGTGATCTGTCTCGGTAATGTAATCAAATTAGGGTTAACTGCAGCTGGAGAATGCCAGCTTGTAAACTGTTTTTCAAAAAGAATCACATGGTGTTACTTGACATGTTTAGTATACATTCAGGAGGCTTTGCAAAAATTATAGCACATCCCTAACTAATGTAACTAAGTCAGGATTTTGTTGCCACCAGTTCTCTGAACCCAGGAAGAGAAACGCAATGAAATTCATCAAAACTCGGAGGAGCGATACCTCCAACCAGATTCCTAAAACACAAGTTTTTCTAACGTGGCTGCTGCTGACGTGTTGTCTTTCTTTTGCCTAAAATCAACATATCAGTTGATAGAAAAAGCATATGGTGTAAATTCTGAGTACATTTAAGAACATCTGTGTTAACTGCAAAACTACAGCTCACTGTGCATGTCAAGCACTGTATTTAGTATTATGGCATTCACGTAAGATGAAGTCCAGCCTGAGCTAAAATTACCTAATGAGTAGATTTTCAAAGTATCTTTTGTTATTCTTATTAATAAACATCACATCTGGTACTTACTTTACTTACTTTCTCTCTCTTTCTCTTCTAAATAGGAGATAGTATTTACATGGCTGCATTGCATTTGCCAGCATCTCCTTTTGCTGCAGGGAAAGCTCTCACAGGAAAGTCTCTGCCCCTCAGAGCTTACAGTGTGCACGCAACAGAAGCCGAACTCCTTGAGCTGATCTAACTCTTGAATTGTCGTATGTCTAGAAAGGAATTTGCAAAAAGTTTCCATTCCAAACTGGGAATGCCAAAGCGGAATTTTGAAATTTCCCCCCGAGCCCTAGAAGGTTGCTGAAGGCTCTGTCAGAACCCTGCTTATGGTTTGACGGCAGTAGATTTTGATTTGTGTCTTCTGGAGGGGGCAAAAAAAATCTCTTTCACTGACAAGCCCTCAGCCTGCTCTGCCCGCCTGGGCAAATAGGTGATATAGAAAATTTAGGCACTTTCAGGTTAAGTGACATGTCCAGGCCGAAAGTCTGCGGCAGAACGTAGTCCCATACTGCTGCACTTTCAACGTGATCATCTTTCTTTTTTGAAGTCTAGTGTAAATATTATGTTTGGAAGGATGAGAAATATCATCTAAAAATAGTTCCGAATCTTCCACCATTGCTAAAATATCTTTTCCCACAGGTAAATGTTCTGATAGCTTGGGTGTGGATGTGGCTTCATTGAAAGTAAAATTCTTCATGAAATCAGGATTTCTTTTCCCAGAAATTCTGTATTAGAAGGAAACTGAAAAAATATTTCACCTTGTCAAAAATACACCCTTTAGAAACTTCCTGCATGAACAAGTTTACTTTTCCACTTGAAACAATTTTTTATTTCACTTTTTCTATCACAGTTTATATTAATATTTAGAGTAAAAAGCCAGTGATTCTTTTCTGTAGAAACACAATTTTTGGATGAGTATGAAACACTTTTTACAGAAATTCTGTTCTCTATGAATTTTTGAAATTTGGGATCTGCTATGAATTGAAGAAAAACGATTAAATATCCTTTGAGAAACACAACTTGTCCCTTGAGCCCCAGGTCTATCCAAACCAAAAGAAGGAAGCTTGTGTTGGCATTTCGATTCAGACTCAGGAATTCCTGACTGTTAAGGCTGTTTATATAGGGCTATACCACAGCCCAATTTGCACTTCATTTTATTTTTTTTTCCCCTCTACATTTATGGTCCTGTCCAATAGGTGGATTATGTACTCTGCACATACTTCAGCAATTGTATTTCAAGGTACTTTGCATATAAGAAGTATAGTTGCGTCTTCATTTGGAAGCGGCAGTGTTTTGTGCAGGCTTTTAAGTCAATTAAGCATAGGTATATTTATATTCCGGCTCTGAAAGGTTCGTGGCCTCATTCTCGGAAGACTTTTGAGGGTCACTAGTTTCCAGTAAAAGTAACGGGAGCTGTGAGCACGCTGCGCTTGTGAGCGATTCCCCAGCAACGTGGTGGCACGTACTTCTAACGGTACATTGAGCTCCCAGTATGTCATGGTGATGCTGGAGCGTGTGCATGTGCACATGTGAACGCACCAGGTTTTGTTGCTCTGGTGGTCACCTCTTGGTCCTGTTTGCAGTCAGCTGCTTTCCAAACCGCAATTTCAGTATCTATTAAAACTGATGTAAAATACAGAATAGTTTAGGATTCCTACTATATAAAATATGACAGGTTGTTATTACAGCTGAACTTGGAAACATTTGCCAACGTTCTTCAAAATTTGTAACTTGGTTGATCTCCCCTGACGTGGTCAAAGGGGCCTAAGAACTTTGGGCCAA